TGATGCCTACCACTGTGTCGGCACGGCTGACATATTCTACACTGCTGCTTTGCTCTCGGATTTTGCTGCTTTTGTACCAGTGACACCTACACATGTTAGCGCCGATAGGACGAACTGATATACCACCCCACACTCACGGAAATGCAGAGCCGATTTAGTTGGAGGAATGCCCTCCAAAGAAGTTTCGTCCCCATCGTAGGTGTCGAGGATATTTCCGGCCCAGTATGGCATGCAGTCTGCACTTCATGAAGAAGGATTCGGACGGCGCAAAAAGTAAGAAATATGAAAATAAGGAAAACTACAATGAAACTTGGAATCACTGGACAATCGACGCTTGTGTATGGCAGTTTAGGTGGTAGTAGTATTTCAATTTTTTCATTTAAGTTTCACTCGCCACACTAACTAGGTGGCGCCAAGAACTGTTACAGCAAGCCCCGTAGCCAGGCGGCGCTACTGTTCACACATTGGGCCCGTGTGCCCAGGTGGATTTCCCCTAGGGCAGTTGGCCCCTGCGTTGTTTCCCCCTGAATACAAGAATACGTGTTTGGACCTTGACGAGGCCGGAGCCACGTTGGGGCAAGGTAAAAAGTGGGGAGGATATAGGAAAGGAAGAGGCGGGCAAAAGTGGAAAACAAAAAAAATACGCTGTCGCAAAAAAAAAAAAAAAAAAAAAATGTTGGCTTGAAAAGCTTACATTGGAATCGCTAGAATAGTTTCGGATCTACCGGGAACCATCGAAGCCGCTGGCGCAGCGCTGGCATTCACTCTGCGTGATTGGCAGACGCCGGTGATAGCCGACGTATAAAGGCGATGAGCGTCGTGACGATGCACTTTTTATGCTGCCTTATTGGCTCCATCGGATCACAGCGCCGACTGCGGTAGGACTTGTGAAGCGGAGTATAGCCCACAATACCACAGTCGCCCCCCCCCCCCCCCCCTTCCCTAAAAAAAAAGAAAAAGACCAAAACAAAACACCGCCATAAGCTCTTTTTTGATGAAAACAAGAAGTGAGAACAAGGTTAAAGGGACCATGAAATGATTTTAAAATCGAATTTCATCCACCGCACGTCGTAAAAGGTGTGAAAAGGAACTCAAAAACTCAAGACTAGGGAGCCAAAAAAAATTATTTGCTATAGAACTTTTAAAAGAAAACTGGACTCTTTTGCGACTTCTTTCCTTCGAAAGCTCTGCCTTTTCACTACGATGCATACGCAGAATCGGTGCACGTCAGCCGAATCCACATCGCCTATTGGGTAAGAGCCTACCTCACCAGCACCGCGATCGTAAACAATAAATAGCCGGCGAATGTTTCCTAAAAGTTTTGTTAAATAATATTCAGATCCACATTTTGTAGCATAATTAGAGATGTGTGGCGAAAATTGCCAAATTTGATAATGCTGAGAGCCAAGCGCCATCTATCGTGTGGTAAACGAAGCAACTACTGCGCGTGCGCAGTAGGGCATGGCCAAGTTGAGAACGGTTATTTCCTTTGGTTTCCTTCCTCTCAAAACTCTGACTGACTGAACGTTTATTTTTCTACGTGTTCATCTCGCGCGTGCCGACTTCAAGCAGCAAGAAAGAAATGTACTTAAAACAAACCACGACGAACAAGAACGCTGGATCCACAAACACCCGAGAAGAGCGACAGCAGCCGCGAATCCCGCTCCGACGAAACTCTCAGAATATAGGCCTAGCAGGCACTCCGACTCGGCGCAGCGTTGCTTCGTCGCAAGACCGTCTGCCTACGACCGGCTGGCGTGCTGAATGGAATATGCCCGCGCTACCCTTGTGGACCCTTCCGTATTATAGTTTGATCGCTGACCTCAATTTTAGGTTAAGAGGTGAGGTCAATCTCTTCCCCTTGTTTTCCGAGGCAGTGTTGACGAACACTCGTCGAAAAGGGACCCTCGTCGATCCTCTCCTTGTTTTGTGTGATATAGAGCTGAAATAAACGCTGTATGGATTACCTTCGTAGCACGGTATGTACACTTTGTTATTGGTATGCCATTTTTATTCTGACAGACTGCACGTCACTGTCGAGCTGTAACAGTTCGTGGGAGGTATACGTGCAATACCGGTCCAACCTTTCTTTGCCGAGTGTCGCGTCAGTATCGAGTTGCAATTGTAAAAGATCGGTCCCGAAGCGCTTACCAACAGCGCGAATACAGCACTTCATCAAACGCGCGCGTCCGCTCCGAGTGTGAACAGGTATTTACGTGGCTCTTGCTGACAGTTCAAACGTATCTTTTTTAACGTCGGCTCGCTCCTGCATCTCCGAGACCGCGAAAAACGCCGCGGCAAATTGTTCCCATCTGCACTTCCCAACAGGCATACCGGCGTATGGGACTAGTCCCATGCTGTCGCTGTAGCGCAACGTATCTCATTGAATTTCGTTCAGCTGCGATGCGGCGATGAGAGGCGCCGATTCAGAAAATACGTCGGTGACATCGGCGCAGTAAAACCCACCGGCGCACCCCAACTTGCTAACGCTCCCATCTCCTACTGCAGAGAGAACTTCCGGTTCCGGAAGCAGCGTACGTCACGGCTTGTTTTGCGGTCAAGAAAAAGTCGATATTTCATTAATTTTTTGTGTAGAAGTTAATAAACCGAGACGAAAACGGATGCCTGTTCGGCATTCAGTGAACATTGACGGTTTATTGTAAAAGTTATGTGGAAAAAGTAAAAAAGTCATTTCATGGTCCCTTTAACTTATCCCACGGAAACCAACACGAGCATGCATTTTGGGTTCTGATTATTTTCGTCATCACGGATGTGCAGTAGATTCGACGTCGATCCCAACTTGAGACGCCGCCCTCCAACAAGGTCGTCTGCTTCCTAAAGCCGGTTGCCGGTCTAAACCCCCCCAAAAAAATCGTCTGCTAAATGAGAAAAAAAAAAAAAAAAGAACGGAAGCCGAAACAATGCTGGAAACCCCAGGGTGCGCTTACGGCGACGCTCTTCTGTAGGAATATTCTGAGGCAATGTACCCAACACACAACACGCAGGCGGCAACACTAGGATTCACCCCTGAGTTGGCAGTGGGGTAGAAGCTGCGCGCTTCGCCGGTCCAAGTAACCGCCTCCCTTTCATCGCCGGACATTTCTCTCTCTGATGGGCGTGGGGAGTATGGATGAGAGCATGATCACGTGGCGAAAGATCGACTCATGATTGGCCCATCGAGCGCGTAGCTTCCACCACGCTGTCAGCTTAGGAGTGAACGGGGCATAGCCTGGCCGCTTTCACCTCCTGCCCAAGCGACGGCCTTCGAACGAGCTTATTTGGACATCTCGGGCCCTTGTCTCCTTTGTTCACGAAAACGAGGACGCTGTCAGTCAAGGCCCCGTCGTTTTGTTCCTGCATCGCTCTTCCAAAAAAAAAAAAAGAAAAAAAAAGGAAAGAGCCGTACTCTGTTTTAGCTTTCGATGGACTGTGGCAGACGCTACGAGCCATCGGAGCCAATCCAATGACGCGGAAGAGTCCCACGTGACCTTCGGAAAGGTGCGCGTAGTTACGGGATAAGTTCAGAACTCTGGATTGCCTGGAATGGCACGTAACACCTGCTGTGGTCCATTGCAAGGTGAACCGGGATGTGGCTGTCCCTCCCGGTACGTCTCAAATTTTGTGTTCAATCCTGCGGTGGTACCTCCTCCTTCTCCTACCTGCCCGCCGGACGCGTGGCTTTGCCATTGTTGCCAGACTCCTTTTTCCTTTCCGCTGTCCGTAGCTAAAGCGGAGCTAGGATTACGCCGGGATGGCAGCAGAAGGCAGGCATCAAGAGGAGAGAGGTCAGACAGGTCTCCAACTTGCTCTCAACCGGAATAAGCCGTAGATTAAAAAAAAAAAGAGATAATAAAAAAAGTGCGGGGGTTGGGTTTTGACTTTGTCTCTCGCTGCTCGGCTGCCTTGGTTTGTTTCCACAGTGAGAGCGGCTCTCTTGACCTCGGATTCGGACTTGGCTTCCGTTTTGTGAATTGTTTGTTCGTTGGTTCATGTGTGTTTGTGTAGGGAGAAGCAAGGATGGAATCTTTCGGAGCTCAGTCCTTGCAGTTTGCGTAAGGAAAGGGGGGAGTGGCAAGTGCGGGTTTTCTTGTCCGTGCTGTAAGCAGTCACGTTGGTGCAAAGGTCAAGTGGGCCCGTCAGCTGGACGCCGCAACCTGTAATCGTTTTGTTATCATTTTGGGCTCGTGTTGTTCATTAACTTGTTTAAAATTCTTGGTACCATATCGGCTCTGAGAAATGCAGAAACAATCTGCCGATCTTTTTTTTCTAGCGATTATACATTTCAGAGGCTCCGTATAGGCGGATCTTACGACTTATGTGTGCATTAATTGCGCAAGGAATGATTTAGAAACGTACACATCAAAATCATTAAGTTTTATTATGCACAATTTTTAATTTGTCAAGTTTTTAATTCACACTTTAACGATTTACTATGTCGGTCGCTGTTCTATGTTTTCTAAAAATTAAAACTATATATATAAAAAGAAAAGAATTACAAGAAGTGCCAAAGTGGCAATAGCCTGAGCGTGTTGGCAGTTCGAGAGTGAATTATCATACACTGCTTCGATATCTTGGAACCAAGGTACTGTTTCTGCAATATCTTACGTCCAACTAACTCATACAGTGCTAACGTACAAATGCTCGCCGTGTAGTGTTCTTATGTAGCGATCAAACGGCTGCGCTCATCGTCCACGCGCACTGCGGCTTTCGAAACAGCTATCAATCAATCAATCAGTCAATCGCGTGTCATGTGTTGCCCTAAATGTGTTAAATTTCTTAGTGCGCAGCGGGGTGTGGCACATGATGTTCCATCTTCTTGTCTCGCGATTGGTTCTCGGGCGTTCCTTTCGGCTAATGCCCCAATGTCATTGGCTGCGAAGCGTTAATAAGGTACCCGCCACACCCTAGCTTCTTGAGCTGCTGTCGGGCACTGTACGCACAGTGGAAGTCCAGTTACGCCTTGCCGACCGTTCTAACCCTATGTTCTCCTCCTTCCGCAGGTGAAGCAATTCACCTTGCCCGGGACTTCGGCTACGTGTGCGAGACGGAGTTCCCTTCCAGACAAGTGGCGGAGTACTTATGCAGAAATCACGCCGACCCCTCCGACCTCTACCGACGAAAGGAGCTACTGCTGGCCACAAAGTAAGCCGCACCACTAAGTCTGCAGAAAGCACTGAAAATTCCGATTCCCACATTGGCGTTTGGGTGAACTCGAGAGTGCGTTCTGCATCTGCGCGTAACCACCTACGACCAGAGAGCACACACAGGCACGCGAGCGCCATCTGTCGGCTAGACCCTGGAACTGCGTTTAACTGCACTGAAGTTTGGCAGTATTTCCCTGAGCAGATCTGCACATTATCTCTAAAAAATGGGCGCTTGTAATACAGTCGCAAAAATTTAAAATCCACGGTAAAATCCACAAGGCTAGCGGAGCCAAAACCCGTATGCTCCACTATCCTTGTGCCTGTTCCTCGAGTGGTAACTTCGGCGCATAGACGCAAAAAACACCCTGCATAGATGCAGGCCGAAGTTATTCCAGGGATGCCTAATGGATGGCGCCAGCGTTACTCTGTGTTCACTCGTGGTAAGCAGCTACAAGGGAACACGGCGTACTTCGGCACACTCAAACGCAAATTGTCTTAAACGTGTGTCGCCTTGCTGCTGATTCATGGCGCCGCTTGTAACGCGTCATTTGAGAACTCCATCTCTTGTTCCAGAAGTGTAAGCGTGATGGCATTGAGCAGGACATCTATATAGAATGACTGTGACGAAACGGGTTCGGCCACTAAGCGTTGGAACAAAAAGTCTGAATTAAAAGAGGTCCTAAACACATGGCTGCTAGACGAAAGGTCGCGCCCCGGAAATTCCGACTGGGCACAGTCAGTTAAATCGGAATGAAAAGAATGTCGAGTACTCCTCTTGCTCTTCATTGCTTGAGCAACGCAATCAAGCTCGTCAAGATGTCGTTCAGCCACTAACGACCACTTTACCGCGCAGCGGCTAAGTACAGCCCGAATCCGCTCAAGTTTAACTTTGCTTTAGCGACCACTCCACCGACGATGGAACGATGGGCTCGCGCTAGTAGAAAAAAAAAAAAAAATCAAAAACTTTCGACCAATTTGTGCAGGAACGGATGGATGTACGCGGGTAGGTTCGGATTGCGCAGGTTCTTGGGTTGCCTCAGACTACCGACACCGTCGCTAAGAAATGCGCCGTTTTATTTTTCTTCTTCTTTTTTGTCCGGGCCGCGCGAGCAATGATAATGGTCCCTAATTGTAAATCGGAAGCCCCCGACGGTATTTATTTGCAATTACCCGTCGGGCGCGGGACGCGCGCAAACTCGGGCCGAGGCGACATTTCAGAGTAACCGGCCCCAGCGCGAGCCACTCCGCTGCCATTGGACGACGCAAGTATATATAGAGATGTACGGAAAACAAAGGAAACATCGAAGCGGGTAGACGTCTAACGCCATCTAGCGACAACCGAGCGAAGTCGGAGAGACGAGGTCTCCTGTTTGGAAATGGTTGAGAGGGAGGAGGGAGGGGGAGCAGAGTCGTAGAAGGAAGAAATGGACAAGCGAAAATGTCTTGATGGATGGCAATAATAACGGCGGGCGCGGCGCGGACCCTCTCATTACGTCCGCTTAAATTTTTTTTTGTTTCCTCTTTCCTTATTGGTTCGCGACGATTACGTCGTGTACGCGGCCCAACAAGTGGGATTGGTCGAGCTGCTGTAGCACCGCGCGATGTTCGTTCAGAATCCAGTGGTACTGAAGTTAGCCGCCAAGGCTATTACCGACCAGAGGAGTTGCAGGCTCGCAGTTTCTCGGTTTTCCACGGTTGGCATTGACCCTATTGCCACCACGGTACGCGCTGCAGCTGCACTCGGACGTTTTCGCTTTTCTTTTTGCTGCCCATAGTATGCTGGGGACAACTTAGGTCCTTCGTTATGACTGCTGCCATGCAAAGTAGGAACACGCTTTGGTAGCTTTGGACAATCGTTGCGTAGGGTGAACGTTCCGAGGGCGTGGGCGCTTCTCGAAACACCGATATTGTGTGTCCGTAGCCAGGGCCGTACCCAGAAAAAAATTTCGGGGGGGTTTCGGGGACAACGGCGGCCATTTTGAAAGTGTCTATTGTCTTATTTTCGCCTATGAATCATGTGCATCGGTGGCATATAATGGAGAGTTACAGCAAACCGGAGAACCGGTCCCGGTTTGGTACCCGGTAGCCGACCGGCGCCACTGCGCGTGCGCAGAGGTGGAGATTAAAATCGGCTGGCTGCCAGAGCACCGACCAGGCCCGTACCCAGAAAAAAATTTCGGGGGGGGGGGGGGGGGGGGGGGGGGGAGGGGGGGTTAGAACCCCCCCCCCCCCCCCCCCCTGGTTACGGCCCTGTCCGTAGCCTACTTTCGATTCGCTTTTCGGGTAACAACAACTCTGACGTCACGATGCTGCGGTGGCGCTGATGTCGCCTCGTTCCTTGCGCAAATGCTTTACTGAACGCAAATCTGGTTTCTGCGCGAGTGCAGCGTGCCCACACTTGGTGTGGGCAAACGCGGACTTGTTCAGAAACGAAGTATTCGTCCAGAGCAGCTCAGTGCAAGCATCGCCGGGACGGCCTTTAATGACGGACAGCTGTCTAACTCAACTTACATTTTTTTAACATTTTTTGTATGTTTGTTTCTGTTTTGTTCAGGCAATAAATTTGTGGAACCAGCTTCCAGGGTTCCGTTGTTGCTCTGCGCTTTATTTCTGAATTTGAGAATGCTTTATGTCCTTTGTTTGGAGAACAAGCTTCCCACATCGCGTTTTCTTTGTACGCTCTTGTTGGAGGGGATGGGTTCCGTTTAACACGATGGAAAACAGCGCTCAATAAGAGAACACGAAAAGGAAGGAAAATAGGATAAACACGTACTGACTCATCATTTTCTAATCCAACTTATCACTTATTTTCTAATCAAACTAATCCTACTTATCACCTTCCTACTTTCTTATAACATTTGAACGCTGTATAACATTTATTTTTCTAAGTTGTCTTGCATCTATTTTCTTTTCCTGCTTTAACCCTAACAAAGCTGGCAATATTGTAACTTAAAAATTAAAAAAAAAAAAGTTAAAACCTTCAGCTTTCCCACTCTCGTGAAGAAGGAAGACCAGCGGAGCTGTACTCGATACACTGCCGCAACGCGCACGCGCCCGTTTCCCGCTTCTTCTCGTGCGACACGCCGCCGAACGTGGATACGTCTCCGGCGAACCAGAGTCGGTCGCACACGGCGCACGTGTCGCCAAACGGTTTTCCCTCACTTCCTTCTCTCCCTCTTCTACCCTGCCCACCGTTGCTTCTTTCTTCCTCCCTCATAGTGAGACGGATCTTCTGCCTTGCAGAATCTCGAGTCTGGTCGTCGGCCCTTATTATAGCCCAAAGACAATGTTTCCTTAAAGGACTTTTAAGACGACGTCAGTTCAAGATTTGTTTTCTTCGGGGCCTAGCTGACTCGTGGGCTTATCCGATGTTTCGCTGAGACACATAGATTTCCAAGTATTGAAGAAGCTTTATTTCTCTAAAAAAATGTCAGCTGCAACCGCGATTCTCTTAGGAGGCTTCTTTCAAGTTTTTACTGCTTCCATAGCGTACAGATATCCACCAGATTAATCGTCGCCATTACGCAAGTGTTTGAGCTTGCACATATCTCATTCAATGTAAAAGAGTGCTAACATCTCAAAAAGGCGTGCATATGTTGTTCTAGGGTGTCTTCATGTGCGCTTTGTTTAGGGTGGTGCCATCTGACCATATTGTTCCAAACATTGTTTTTTCCTAGAGAGCGTGAAAGAGCGTGACCCGCACACGCTCTTGGGTTCAATGTTCTATATCAGCATTTTGTTTCCGGTGATTGGTGAGCGCGGGCTGTCGGCATTGGGTAGAGCAAAGAATGTCATCGCCCTAAACAAAATGACATCGAGGCGCCGTAGGTGGTTTCATTGTAACGACATCGCTAAAGCTATTGATATGTCTTCTTCACACGACCATCTAGGTCTCACTGTCCTGGTCTCTTCCTCCGTCGCAGGGGCATGGTAAAAGAGTTCGTCGACCTACTGAACCAGGACCGCTCGCCGCTCTGCAACACGCGGCCGCAGACGATCCTGGAACCCAACATCCAGCGTCACCTGACGCATTTCTCGCTCATCACGCACGGCTTCGGAAGTCCCGCCATCGTGGCCGCACTCACGGCGGTTCAGAACTTCCTCAACGAGTCACTCAAGTACTTGGAGAAGCAACTCAGCAACTACCCGAGTGCCCCTCACTTGGGCTCCGTCGACCCCAAGAAAGAGGACACGAAGAAGTAGGTCACACCGACCCACCACAGAGTGCAGACCGGGAGCATCTGAACTGTTGACGTCCAGCGGTGTTCGATGAACACCACCTAGAACAACCGAAGCCTGAGCGCTAGGATTTTGACATCATCACAGCGAGGTCGAGCTGGGGTTGGACACGAGCGTCGCGTCGGCGCTCGGCCGAGGCTCGTGTCCAATCAACGCGTCGAACGACGCCCGGCATTGGGCTCCGGTCCAATACCGAGTTAGCGCCATCCGCCGGTGATGGCGTTCCATTGATGATGAGGAGGATGTTCGCAGGCCTCGGTTATTCTAGGTGGTGTTGGCTCGATCCGCTACCTCGTGTAAAGGGCAACGGCCCGCGGACTAGCCGTTGGATATCTTCACCAGCATAGCGGGACAATCCTGTGCCCATCACAGATGGTGGCTTCAAGTCATGAAACGGCCTTTTGCTACAGTGGTCCAGCGGCGAACGTCTTCAGCAGGATCTTGGAGAAGAAAAGAAGCGAACATTTACAACGCTAGGACAGGCCGGCATTTCTAATGTTTTAGAATTAAGGTGCGAACCTTTCTTAAAAAATAACTATGCTTGTGTAAAAGGTAGCAAAAGAAAACGACCTAGGACCTGTCAAAACTTTATTTATCTCCCAAATTAAGAAAACCCTTTGGGATAATCAATACGATTTCAACTGAAATGCGCACTTGAGCAACTCAATAATGGTATGAGGTATATAGTGTTATTAGGAACCTTCGTTGGCAAATTTGTGCTTTGCCGTGAGATGGAGCCCGCTACCCCGTTCGCCGTGGTGAAGAATGTTTGCTGCGACTCGGACGGTCAACCTGGACTGTTCTGGAGTATCTGCCCGGTCTGCTGAGGAGATGTGGGTCCGGACGGTGTTTCGACCTTGTTCTTCTGTCTTCTATCTTTGTGTCTTGTGCAGGTGCATGTGTTGTCTCCCAGAAGAACTCGGACATGTGTGTGAGTGTGTGTTTGTGTCAGGGGCGAATTGTAAAGCTCCGTATCTTTTTTTCTTTTTATGGTGTGGCTCAAGAGTTTTACAAGCTGTGCCAGTTAGGGTGCCATAACACGTCTTCGAATTTTTTTTTTTCTTATTACACACACGACGTTTTTGTGCGCACATGAAACGGGGCGCTCGCGCGCATGGGAGCTGGGCCCGAAGCTCAATTGTTGCCAAAGCGAGGTCTACCTCGCCAACACACATATACTCACAGAACATAGACACTTCGCACGCGACGAAAGGTACCATCATATTCTAGTAGTACCCAGTTGTGCCACATTTTTAAGTATTTTTTTTCTTTATAGTGCTACATGACATAATCTGGTGGATCAACGCTATTGGTAACTGCAGACGACCATAATCGAGTGAATCCGTCATCTGGTTTCATAACTTAGATCCATCTCTTCTATATCTGATTCACATCGCTGCGTTTTATTTTTGCACTGAAAAGCCGCGTGGTAGTTTTGTCCGAAGATTGTGAAAGTTGCCAAAAACAATTATTGCTTGTATTGATAGAAAGGAATCTTGTGGACATATTTTTGTTTTTGATTTTTTGCAAAAGGGTACGCTCACTGAAGTACGCTGCTGTACTCTACATCCCTTTGAAACTCAAGGCAATAACTGTGAAGCAATGCATTTTAAAACATGTTGTAATGTAGTCAAACCGCGAATCACCTTCGTGATAAGTATATCATTTTTACAAACCGCGCCATGGTATGCGAACAACAACAACAACAACAATAAAAACAACCGCGGTTTCCCTCTTGCAGTATTTATGACGTCAAGAACAGATGCTAGTTAAGAACACCGCTCATTTCCTGACCCGATTCTCATTTTATCACTGATTTTAAGAGACGGTATTTTTTTTTCCAGAGAGGATGGTCACCCACTTTTTTATTTATTTACAAGGTTCGTGTTCATTTTTCCTTTCTTCGCAACATTCCTTTATTACCTTCATTTTTGTTTGTTTTAAGGGCGGCTCTGTGGAGAGTCGCCTTCTAACATTCTGGCTCATCAAATATCTCCCAGGTGCAATAATTTATATGCCTTGAAGGAACAAGTGAATTGTTTTTGCCATTCAAGCAGGGTTGTCCGTGCCAGTTTTTAGCCTGCTATTTTTTTCCCTCGCTTCCTTCTGTTTATTGATTGGACTCCTCTAAGACAGTATTTTTCTCAGTTTCTCAGAGGTGGGGTTCATCTTGTAGCCTCATATTTTTCTCACGCTTCCAATAAGATCCTTCCTGTTTTTTTATTTTTTTTTTTTATTTTTTAATAAATATATAGGCATCTTTGTTTAATCTTGAGAGAGTTTGATAAAAAGAAAATGAAAAAAGATACCTACCTCAAAAAGCCGTCCGCATTTTGTCATACTCTCAAATCTCTGTTCGATGTAAAGCTTGATTTTTTTTTTAATTGATTCATCGTTTACTTTTTTAAGGCCATGTAATTTCATGTCTTTCAGCATTAAGTGTCTGCCCCTCTCCTCCTCTTTTTATTTTTAATCATTGATTTATTGTTTGTTTAGAGGGAAGATTTCATTGGCTGGTATTATGTGTAAATAACAAATGTAAATATGTGAATGTAAAAGCTTTTCTTGCATACCTTCATCGAGTGTAATATTTCCCAAATTGGCTATCTTTCTTTTTTTTGCTTAATTTTTGTCCCTGCGAGGAATTTATTGTGTGGAGCTGTAATCATGCTACGCAGGGTGCGTTTTCTTTGTTTCTTATGATCCGGAAACTGTTTGTGTGCGTGCATTTGTATGTGTGGGATTCAACTGTACATAAGGTTACGTAGAACTCTGTGTTGGCCATATACAAAAAACACTAAGAAAATTTTAACATCTTCTTCTAAATTCAACATTAGATTGTGAAGTGAGTTTAAAACAACTCACTTCGACTGGGTAGAAAAATTGTGTTCAGGTTCACAGGACACCCAGGATATATTATCCTTGTGAATAACGATTGAAGCTATTCTAACGATATGCTGAGAGACCGTCGTCTACAAATCGCATATTTTATTTAAAACCATATTTCTCAAATGAAGGAGATAAACAACTATATCCACTTCAAAAGTACTTTTATAGCCCAATCATCTTTTTTTTAGGAACAGGACATTCTGGCAAGTTGTAGAATTAGCGACGTCAACGATGAATTCGTAAATACAACTCTAGAACATATAACGTTTTTATAATTCGAGTAATATGCCTTCAATCCGTCTTCGTCTTTTTTTTTTTAGAAGCCGGGTTGTATGTGTTTGTGCGCCTGCGTTTTCCTATGTGGGGATTGCGTGCGCGTGTGCCTGATCTTGAATCGACAAGTCCTCTCACCGAACTGTTCTAGTCGGTCAAGAAGTACCACTTGACGTGCGAGGTATTTTGGAGATTTGGGATGAGTATTTTGTTTCTTTTTCCGCCCTTTTCTCTTTGTCATTTACGTTTTGTAAATCACCGTGAACACTTTTTTTTTTTTTTTTTGTCATCTTAATACTGCGTCAAAGTGAACGACCTTGAAGCCAAATGTTCTGTATAACCAAGAAATCGGTTCGACTGTTTATTCGGCATCGTTTGGACATCTTGAATAGGGAAAAACAAAAATGGCGCCTAGCAACCTTGTGCACTTTTAAACTTTTTTTTTGCTCTATTTTATTTATTTTTTGTCAGTTATTCATTATATTTTTAAGGCTATTTTAACGATTACACCCATCTGATAATGTCAGATCTAGTATAAGATGTCCTTTTTCAGTAGAATATTTTAAAGGGTACCACCCTAAGCCAATAATAAAACAAAAGAACTTCACAAAACCAATGCCCTGTTTTTCTATGATTACGAAAAAATTTGTTGCTCTACAATTTATACGCAGTAGTTACTAAAAATATATATAAAGACCCCGAGTCATCATATGAAATAACGGATGGGCACAAAAAACAACTGAAATAAAACGTAATACCTTTTCAGAAAAAAAAGGAAAAAAAAATGAATTAAGAAGACACACTCTTTTTCGAATGAAGAGGAGAAATATAGTTTGTTTTTCTTTCCTGGCTGCTCGTCGCCCTCTTAAGAAACGCACGGTGTGGCTCATCATAATCAGGCATCATTCTTCATGTTTGGTTCTTTCGGCGATCTTATCGGCTAAAGCTGCCATCTGATTGGCTGCAGATCAATGACGAGACGCACGGGACTAGCCACGACCCGCTTTTCTTAAACTCTCTGACTCTAATGTTGTCTTTTAAGTATCTAAGTGGTGTCTCATTGACAACGCATCTGTGTAATGCGGACACAAAAAATAGGTATCGCTGAAGTTGCCCCACGCTTCCGAAGTCTCAACCTTCGAGTTGCTGGTTCATTGAGCCTCTCTCGGAAATGAGAGGCAAGTTGTGTATCTTGTGATCGTTTATTTTACACTTTTTACTTCGTCGGCGATGTGGCAATGTCGGTGCAACTCTCAAGAATATATTTTTAATTTTTTATTTTTTTATTTTTTAGAGCAGCGTTTTATTAGCAGAACACCGAACAAACTTCTAACAGATACGAAAAAAAAATATGTAAACGGTTTTATGTTTAATTCCTCCAGGATTAATATTGCTCGCCTGCCTTATGAAAACATGTCGAGTTTAATTGCTGGATTATAATGCCAAGGCGTTTTATAAATTTCCTTCAAGATATTTTTTTTGTCTGCTTCGGGTTGATTTGGTCTAATCTTTGTCAAGAGTTAAACTGACAGCTTTAGAAATGTTGGCGATTTTCCGTTTTGTCCCATTGCTGGAGACAGAGCAGCGGAGGGCAGGGCAGTACGTGTTGTCCCAGTTATCTCAGCTGCAATGGCAGCTTCTGACCATGTGGCATCTCCCGCCCTGAAAGCGTGCGAACAAACTTCAAACAATTAAAAACAAAAGAGCCTGCTCACGCTCAAAGCCTCAAACACGTTCCACGAATTATACATGCCCTTGTCGAACCGACATCGATAATTAAATCAAGATTTTATTAGCACAAA